AGCGCTTCCACATACATGGTCTCCCACATCTTTGTGACAATCACATTAGGCTGACATTTCTATCCCCATGTTAGACCTTAAGGAAACGACAGCCCTAACAGATCTTTATGGGAGAGGCAGTGCGGCTCTGAAGGAAGATGCGGCCTCTGCAATGTGAGGGGAGGAATCAACCCTGAGGAGCATCGATGAATCTTCTTTCCAGGAATAAAGGTAATAGCAGAAGGTTATAGAAAATTCCCCAAAGACCACAGAATCACAGAAGATTAGAGCCTGGAAAGGTTCAGTAAACGCATCTAGTCCAGCAAGTTATTATTAATAATAAAGTACTAGATTTGTGAATTTTTTTTAAATTCTAGAGTAGGTCCACGGCAGCCATACCTGTGACTTGTCAGCCTCACTCACTTACACGCCAGTACATTTTCTTGAGAAACACAGTTCTGAGTTACAGCTAGCTCCCGGTACGGTCCAGGGCCTGTCTACTCGCTGCGCGGGGTCCTGCTGGCCTCTTCTCTGTACCACCCTTTCCTGTGCCAACACCACGTCTGAATGACTGTAACTCAACAGAACATTCTGATGTCTGGGGCGACCACCGCCCTCATTAGTCTTCTGTTTAAGATCGCTTTAGCTGTTCCTAAAGATGAACAGCCCTTCCCAGTAACCTGCGCTGGAAGGCACTAAGTTTAGTTATATATCAAAATCGAAGGAAAAGGGCACTTTTACAACATTGGGTCTCTGCTCACATTTCATCTCCTTAGAGAGTCTCTCCCGAATCATCTTACATAAGCTAGCACCAGCGGTCACTCTACCTGTGACCACTAGAACGTAAGCTCCAAGAGGGTAGGGATTTTGTTTTCAACAGAGACCCGATACTGTGAAGATGTCCACGCTCCCTCAATGAAACTATATTTAAGGTAATGTTTACCATGCTCACCAAGCACTGGAAACAGCGTCCAGCACAAATGCTGTCAAGCACTCACTCTGCTAGCAGTAAGGGATGTAAGTTACAAGAGACAAGAACACATGAATGACACCTTCCCATCCAGAATATAGTGCATCTCTCCATCTACGTAGGTCACTGTTACCTCCTTCAGTTAAAATTACAGTTTCCTTCATACAGAAATTTTGCATATTTCTTGTTTATGCCTCAGTCTTTTCATGTTTTTGATACTATCGAAATAGGATATTTCTTCCCTTAGATTTTCAAGCTGGTTACTGCTTGTTTGTACACTGCATCTTCTCTTCAGCCATAGTTTACCGAGTTCTTGTCAATTCTGATACGAAACTGAAGAGTATGAACAGAAAAACTTCCATTTACAAATAAAAATTGCCTCCCTTCCTGTCTGATATTTATACTTTTTTGTCCTTCTTCTTTTCTTTTTCCATCTTAATGCTCTGAGCAAAACCTCCAGGATGATACAAACAGAAGTGGCGGAAGACACGCCTGCCTTGTTCTAAACTGTAAAGCAGTTTGGTATAATACTGGCTATTGGTACCAGGGGTATACATGTTTGGATGGTCCCCATTAGGGAAGTTTCTTTCTAGTCATAACTGGCTCTGTTTTATTGTTGTTTTCTCCACCAGGAAAGACTGAAATTTTCAGGCTTCTTTTTCATTAACCTATAAATGTACAGAGCATTAACTTTCTAAAACTGATCCACTGTACCTAGAATAAAATCTAGTCTGTCACAGTGCATTATGCATTAAGAAACCACTGGATTTGATTTGCAAATATTTATTTAGAATTTTTATGAGAATAATTTTATAATTATCTTTATAATAATAAAAATTATATAATTTCATTTTTAGGAATTTCACACAACTTAGGTTAAATATTAATAATAAGATAAAAGGCAAGGAAAGATGGAGAGATACTTCTTCTACACACTACAGAAAGAGGAGGATAAAATTATGACTATGACTATTAATATACAACTACTGTAATTATCAACACAAACATGACTATGTTGTGAGTGAAATCTGCCATGTCAATTCTAATAAATTTGTATAAAATTTTGTACTCCAGTTTTTGATAACAGTCTAGGTTAATTGAGAGGTACACACTTGCTTGCTATATTGCCTATAAAGAGCTGGGAGGCTAAAAATCAAGATTCAAGCTTTTTTTAAACCTTAATATATTTTAAAAATCAAGTTAACTGTATTTATTTCCTTGTCAAAAGCCTTAAAACACTTTCAATGGCTGCTTTAGTCACTCCAATGCCTTCACGGCTGTCATGCCCCCAAAAGCCTATGGCTTTCTTTTCTTTTTTTTGTTAGTTTATTTTTTATTTATTTATTTTATCATTGATTGGTATGGCTTTCTTTTCTTTACTTTCCTATGAATGCAGAGGTTTCATCCAAATCAAATCATGCTGTTGAGCGTGTAAAACAGGCCCTGTCCCAGGGGAATAAAGGGTGAGCCCCGCTCACTGAATCTACTTCTGGAGGAAAAAAGAGAGATGCGCTGAAGACAGCTCAGCCGGCCGGTGGCAAGGGCCGAACGGGCACCAGAGTCTGTGACTTCCGATCCGGCCTCTTCCCACAGCATTCACAGCCACCAAGGGGCAAAGAACTCCGGACACCACTGTCTCCCTCACCAGCTTCTCCACTAAGACTGAAGCATTCCAGCAGAATTGGCACCCTTTCACAGCCGCTCACCAGAAGTACACCCTCTCAGATTCACTCAGCTCCCTTTGTCTCACACAACACAGAATTCCAGCGTCCTCCCTCAGTTTGTCCTGGTAACAGCCTCGCTGCACAGCAGGTCCGTATGGCCTGCAGGTGTGGAGAGGAAGGCAGAAAATGTCCCACAACCCACAACCAGTCTTCAAGTCCCATTCCCTCTTCCTTAAACAGGTCTGCACCTCTTTCTGTGGGACTTACACTTATACTAGGCCTTGTATCTTGCTTAATTCATGTAAAATGGAAGACGAAAGTCCTTTTATGATGGAACTGTTGTGAGGATTAAATGAGTTAACACACATAAAAATACACAGAGAAAGCGCGTCATAAATGAGGTATATTTTTACTCAAACTTGTCAACGTGTACAAGAAGTTTCCAGTCCAAGGCTTCTGATTAATTCCCACAGGCCTGTGTCATAACTCCAAAGTCCATGAGGCGCAAAACGGGTTTAATGTGCCTCTCAAAACTGCTCCCTCTGGCTTCCCCAGTCCTACTATCAGGCTGCAAATCTGACACCTAGTCCTCAAGCTTTCCTGCCTCTGATATCTAAGTCATGGCCAAGTCTGATCAAGTCTAGATAAACGCGTTTTCCTCTCTATAACCACAGTCACCAGTCGTCTTGGGGTCATTAATATCTTCCTCAATGGCCTCAACAGTCACCAGGACTGGTCTCCTTGTTTTTCTTTTCCTCTCTTCCAACCGCTCTTCACGGAGCTGCCGGAGTCATCTTCCTAAAAGACGATCTTATTTCACTCTGCTATTACAACAAACTGGCCCCAAAACCCTTGAAGGATTCAGGCTTAACAGCAGAATAAAGCCTAAGCTTCTTATGAGGTATTCAAAGACCCAACAATCTTTCCGGCCTTCTCACCCACCAGACTTCAAAAAGGTACCAGCTGTTCTCCAGGGCACTGAACTCACTGTTCCCAGAACCCATTCTTGGGCCTCTGACTTTCCCCATCTGCTCACCTTTGCTCATTTCCTATCTCGTTTAGAAAGCTCTTCTCTCCATCTCTGCCTATAAGTGCCCTCCTTCAAACGCCATTTTGCCAAGTCTTATTACACCCCAAGAAGTGCTTCCTCTGCTGCCTGCATAACCTCAGAGAACTCTACAGCTGGAATCACTTCATCTTACAAATAAAATAACTGTGTCTGCAAATGGGAAAAGCGACTAATCAAGGTAACCAAATGGTTAGGCCTACAATTTAGATACAACCTCAAATCCTACTCTCTTTTCTTAAACCATGCCTGCCCCTCTTCCACAGCAATTTAATCATACTTTGTCTTATATTTTGGTTATTTTGTGTAACTATCTGTCTCTCAGTTCAACTGTGTGAACCCTAAAGGCAAATCCACTCCAGAAACAGGATACTTGCAGGAAGTAGAATCTCAGATGTTTGCTGCACCAAATTAAAGCTCCAGTGAAAAACACAGCAACTCAAGACTGACCCAACTTCACAGCAGGGGCAGGACACAAAAGACTGACTGTTGGCAGCACCTACCCCTCACCTTTTGGACAATGTCACTTTATTATAAAGTCCCTGGACACAGCTAGAAATGTCTTCATCTGAGGAAAGTAAGTTGCCATTGTCACCGGCATATAAGATGAAGTGAAGTGATGCAGGCAGAACACTTAACACAGTGCCTGGGATATAATTTCTGGCACGTAATTTTTTGCATGCCTTCCCTTTCTTCCAAAGTAGCCTGATTATCCACTCCTGCAGGGCTCTCCTCTGCCTTAAAATCCTCCCTCTCCCCACCATCTCACTTACAAGATGAAGTCCAAAGTGCTCAGTCTGCTCTGAAGCTCAGCTGCTTCCCAGTTCTGCCTCGGCCCAAGGTACCTCTCCTGGCTCAGCACCTCTAACAGCACGTGTCCCCCTAAACACAAAGGTGCTGCTAAGCCCTGAAGCTCTTTGGAGCGTTTGCCCATAATACAGTAGTTGAGAAGCACAGGTTTTGAAATCAGCCCTGAGTCCAGCTCTGCCACTTACTGGCCATGTAATGTTAGGCAAATCACTTCCCTCAGACCTGTTTCCTTTATCGGTAACACAGAGAGATCAATTATATCCTTCCTCACTGCTGCTGGGAGGATCCGTTGAGTTAATGTACATAATCAGCATCCTGCCTGACATCTAGAAAAGGCTTGATCACGTTTGCTATAATTAGTATTATATGGCCTTCACTTCTCATAGCACTAACTACACTGTACTTTGCCACTTTATGTGTCTGTCTCCCTATTAGACTATAAACTCTATGAGGGCAGGGACTGTCTCTCATTTTCCAGTGTTACGTGCATATGGTAATTATTCAAATGATATCGCTTGAATAAATGAATGCTTTAAATGTCCTATTACCAAATGCTTTTCCAGGCTGTTAGCAAATTCACTCTTTAGTATCACCTCCTTGCTTAATAGCTCCACTCCAATGCACTTTAAGCAATGCTTTTTGCTACTTTAAGGCGACTCTCTTCCCCGACTGTGAGCACCGTGGGTAGTACACGCACGTTACAGGAACGTTTGAGTACCTAGTGACATAAAGTAAAGTGGTAAAAGTGCCATAATTATTCACGTATAGAAGCACAGGTCGCTGTGGGGATGGGGAGGAGACTTCTCGAGCTACTGAGGGATGGGACCGCGGTGGGGCGTTCCTCGGACTGAGGAGGGAGCGTCCGAGGGCCAGTCTGTGTATGAATTGTGGGCCTGGGGTTGGGATTGGGGAGCCGGGGCCCAGGGTCCGCCGAGGTCAAGCAGGGCTGGGCCCAGGCCCGGGAAGCTGCAGCCCTACGCCCCGCCTGTCTGTCCTCCGGACGAGCCTCACCTCCTGCACTTTCAGATCCTCCAGAGTGGGCAGCTCCACTATCCCCGGCATGATGGCTGTAGTCACGACCCCGAGGAGGTGCCCGTAGCCGCGTCGCCCCCGTCTCCTTGAACTCCCCTTTCGACCGCCGAGGGCTACCCAGCGCCTGCGCATGCGCAGCGGCGGCACGCAGGCGCACTACTCTGCCCAACCGCGAGCCACAGAGCGTGCGCAAAACTAGGAAGTTCCGCGGACTCTGGGGGCGGGGCTTCGTCAAGGCTCCGCCCATCCCTCCTGGTTGTCATAGTGAGACAGTATACACTAACTCCGGGATCCCGAGGGCTGGAAGCTAAGAGGCAGGAGCCATGGAGTACACCGGAAGCCAGTATATTGGGGAATTTGTAGATGGGAGGTAAGGGCCTCGTTTGATTCACTATGTCTTGAACATCTGTGACTGGGAAAAGACAGCTGTCTTTTTGCCTTTGCAAAGGACCCCATAGCAGATACTTTCACAAACACCCTTTTTAAACTTCAGGACAACCCTTTCAGGTAGGAATGTTTATTCTCATTTTACATTTCAGGAAAATGAGATCCAGAGAAGTGAATTAGCTTGCTCAAGGACACATATCTAATAAACGGCAGAGCTGAGATACATCCATTCCATGTATACCTGTATGTTTCTGTGTTTGCTACCTGCCAGTTTTAGATATAGGGATAAGAATATTAAAAATGCCAAGATCCTTGCTCTCATGGAGCCTATCGTCTAGTTGGCATATTGTCAACAAATAGATAAAGATAATTTCAGATAGTGGCATTGCATGACTCTGCCCCTCCTCACAGCAACCCTATCAGATATACATCATTATCCCCATTATACTGTTGGGAAAAGTGAGGCACAAAGCAATTACAAAACGTGCCCAAAGTCACCTAGTTGGAGTGTCGCAGGGCACAGATTAAAACCCAGGTCTGACTCCAAAGCCCACATGCTTTTTACTATAGAGTCCTGCTCTTGGGCCCCTGCAGAGGATGCATCTAGTTAGGGCAGTCCTTGAAGGCTTCATGGAGGAGATACTATTTGAAATGGGCCCTGAAGTTTGGGTAGGATTTAGTTGGGTGGCGATGCAAGGTGAAGAATGTTTCCAGGCAGAGGGAACAGCATGAGCAATGGCTCAGAGGGCTTATAAGGGGAAGAGCAGGCAGTTCAGTTTGACTGCATTGTAGGATATGCCTGTAGGAAAGAGGGAGCCTAAGATAAGCAGGGGGTCTGTACTCTGGTGTAGAGAGATTGGAATACCGTGCACAATTCTGTGGGTGGGAGGAGCCACTGATAGACCCTTGGTAGTGCTGAGCATTAGGAAATCTAATTTATTTCATCTTTGTTTCTCTCCTCATAGTGCTTCTGTCTGGCAGGCACTCAGTAAATGTTGGCTGAATGAATGAATAAGATAATGAGTGAATGAATGAATGATATTTGAGATATTGTCATCACATCCTCGTAAGGATTGACATCTTCATTATAAAGGGGCTCTCTTTGTTCTTTTTAATTTATTGAATTTAAAATGAAGGCTTTCACCTTGAATGAATAAAAGAAAAATGGAAGAGAAGAAGAGAGAGAGGAGGAAAGGAAGGGTGGAAAGAGGGAGGTAGGGAGGCAGAGTGGAGGTAGTGATCTTTTGGATAATAGCCCATCGTTATCATCCCAGTAAGGGGCAGAGGAGCTCTGGACCACTATGGACACAGCGGGGCTGCAAGAAAGAGAAAAATGTAGGAGAAGTTTGGGGATTCCATTGCCAGGACTTGGCAACTGATTGACTCCTGGTCCCGCCAGAGACTATCTGGTCCCAGCCCAGTGCTCAGCTCCAGGCTTGGAACTGGAGAATTCTGATACCATTCATGGAAATTGAGAATGGGAGAGGACCTGCTTTGGAGGAGGAGGAGAGGATGAGTTCTCTTTGGGGTGAGCTGGAGATGTCTGTAGAACGTCTAAGCAAAAATGTCCAATTTGCAGTGAAAAAAAAAGTGGGAGGGAGATGCCAAATCTCAGAGAAGGGTTTAGATGGATAGTATGCTTAGAGATGACAGATGTGATCGCAAGCAAAGAGGTGGAGGAAAGAAGAGAAGTTTCTCTCCTGTGTCTTACAGCAAAGTAAAAACTACATTGTTTTTGAGCTCCTCCATACACCAAGCGTTGTTATAGTTTTATTGTCATTATCTCAACAATGTTGCATTTTACGGATGAGAGACTCAGACTGAGAGAGGTGGAGGTCACACAGGTTCACATAGGCATGGTGAGGTAGAGAAGGGCCTGGGCTTCAGGGCCTGGCTCGGAAGCTGCCCCTTAACCACAGCGGCAACTTCAGTCATCCGCTCAGTAAGTTCACTGGCCCTTCTGTTCCTTTCACTCCTTAGTAGATGGGAATGGGCACTTGTTTAAGAAGAACTGTGAAGGCGCTGAGGATACCAAGGTCTTCTTCTTAAGAAACTTTGACCAAATAGGGGAGATGAAGTGTACAATTACAATGCAAGGCAGAAGGTGCTAGGCATCCAATGAAGGTACAACCAAAACCCAAAAGAAGTTCAGAGTTAGGAGAAGTGACTTCCAGCTAGTGGGGAAGAATGGAGAAGGAACGAAGGAATGAATGAAAGCATATTTCTTAAGCACTCGCTATGTATCAGGCCCTTTCCTAGGAAATCTTACAATTATCTGGGTTAATCTTGAGCGTTAATCTCAGCCATTTCACACATGAAGTAGGTGGTCCTCTGGTCCAGCTGGTTCCCTGCCGTGGGCTCCTTAGGGGTCCATCTTCCCCTGCACGGCACTTACCACACATTATGTAGTGGCTTAACTGTGTCCCCCTCTGGGCTGTGAGCCCCCTGGGGACAGGGACTGCACCTGCCTTGATCACTGTTGTGTCTGTAGTATTGCATCCAACAGACTAGACTGGGTAAGGCAACTGGCGCATAGCAGGTGCTCTGGTAAATACTTGTTGGAAAAAAGGAAAGAACAAAGGATGGAAGGAAAACAGAGAGGTTTAGGAAAGTCTCCAAGATGATACATCTAGGACATGGTGAAGTAAGATTCAAACTCATGTTTCCTGTCTAAATTTCTTACTTTTCTCAATTTCCTACTTGTGGCATACTAGGGGTGGGGGTGGGCTGGTCATGGGGGACGAGGAAGACCCAGAAGCAGATGCCCGGAAATCTAGCCCCAGTCTATGCCTCACTGCGCTTACTGTGTGGCTTTGGGCACATAGCCGCCCTCTCTGGGCCTCCCAAGGGGGGCTTCGAGGGGCAGCGTGAACTTCAGGACAGCCTCCTGGTGAGAGGGAGAATAAATAGACCAAAGTCTGCATCCTCCTCAACAACCCAGCCCCTTTTATTTTTGAGCTTTGAAAGAAAGAAGACAAACAGCTTGTTTCTAGACAGAATATTTCTGGAATAATGTCTGACCACCCTGAGGTTCCCGCTGGCTCTCCCCGCCCACCGGCTCTGATCCTCCAGCTGCCATGAGGGCTCAGCGACTTCCCTCTGTCCTTACAGGATGGAGGGGGAAGCCGAGTACATCCTCCCTACCGAAACAAAATACGTCGGGGAAATGAAGGATGGCATGTTCCATGGCCAAGGAACCCTGTACTTCCCCAGCGGGAGCCGATTCGATGCCATTTGGGAGAAAGGATTGGTTGTAAAGGTAATCAGCCTGGGGAGGGAGGCCCCCACCCCCACCCCACCCTCCCCCTCTGCTGCCCTCTTCTCTCTCCTCTTGATCTCCCAGGGCTCTGAAATCCTCTCCCTCTAGATCCAGGAGGGCCCTGCAGAGGCCGCAATGAGTTTGAATCCTATTATGCCTCTAACTAAATGTGTGACCTCAGGATTATGACCTCCTCTTTCTGAGACTCACGTTTCTGGTCTATAAACTGGGGACAATAGTTGTATGAGTATCATAGTGCTGCTGTAACAAATTACTGTAAACTCAGTGCCTTCAAGGAAAAGACACTTAGTATCTTACAGTCCTGGACATCAGAAGTCTAAAATAGGTCAGCAGTGCTGAATTCCTTCTGGAGGCTCTGTGGGATGGGAGGATCCACTTCCTCGCCTTTCCCAGTTTCTAGAAGCTGCCTGCATTCCTTGGCTCACAGCCACACATCCCTCCAAACTTCACTTCTACCATCACATCTCTTCTCCCTCTGCTTCTGTCATCATCTTCTCTTCTACCACGATGATCTTCTTGCCTCCCTCTTGGAAGGACCCCTGTGATTACACTGGGCCCGCCTCAGTGGTCCAGGAGAATCTCCCCACTTCAAGATCCTGAACTTGGGGGCAGGGTGTAGCCCAGTGGTAGAGCATGTGCTTAGCAACACCAGGTCTTGGATTCAATCCCCAGTACCTGCATTAAAAATAAATAAATAAACAGATAAATTAACCTAATTATCCCCCCTCCAAAAAAGAGGAAATAATAATTTTAAAAAAGATCCTTAAGCGAATCATATCTGCAGAGTCCCTTTTGCCATGTACAGTTACCATTTACTTAGGTTCAATGATTAGATGTGGACATCTTTGAGGGACCATGATTCCACCTGCCACAAGAGCACTAGGCATCTCCATGGGTGGTTATGAGAATAAACAAGGCAGTAGATGTGAGTATTCTGCTCAGGACCTGGCACACAGCAGGCACTCAGTAGGTGTTCATTCTTACTGTTACTGCCACCATTACTGTCATGATAAATCATCCAAGTCAAGGGTTCTTAACCTAGGATTTGCAGGCCACAAATAGAATTTAGAGAGTCAGTGAAATCTCCTGATTCATATACAAAAGCTTCTGTGTACATGGAACTATAATTCCTCCAGGAAAAGGGTCTCTGACTTTCATGGGTTTCACTAAGGGTGTGTACGGGGGAGCTGGCTCATGACCTTAAAAAGGTTAAGAAACACTCCTTGTTTTACAGCTTGGAGCATCTAAGCCCCAGGAAGGGGATGTGACTTACCCAAGGTCACCCAGTGAATTAATAGTCTTGGAATTTCCACCCGTGTTTCCTGATGCCCAGGCCAATGCGATGTCTGCATCCTGAGGCTTCCTTTAGCTAAGGCAGCAAAAGCAGAATGTATATGTTTGGACAAAGAGCCGTGATCGAGGGCTCTGAACTTTTAAGCCACGATAATAATAAAAGAGTAATAGTAACAGCTATTGAGTGCTT